TGCTCTAGTAAGGGTGCATAATGACCTCCTGATGGCTGCTGATGCAGGGAAATGCTCTGTCATGGTCCTGCTTGACCTCAGTGCAGCTTTTGACACTGTAGATCACAACGTTCTACTAAACAGGTTAAAGGCCCTGGCTGGGATTTCAGGTTCTGCTCTAGACTGGCTCTCTTCCTATCTCACCAACAGAACATTCACAGTGAAGTCAGAAACCTTCTCTTCAGATACTGCCTCTCTAACATGCGGGGTCCCACAAGGTTCAGTTCTAGGGCCTCTACTATTCACATTCTATATTCTTCCCCTAGCTGGCATCATTCAGTCTTTCCCAGACATCTCCTACCACATCTATGCTGACGATATACAGCTCTACATGTCCTTTATGCCACACCAGTTGGACAGGCTGGCCACCCTTGTACTCTGCCTGACCCAGATCAGTAACTGGCTGTCCAGCAACTTTCTTGTCCTCAATGCTAACAAGACAGAGACCCTGATCGCTGCACCCCCGGAACTTCAGCCAAAAATCGAGCAAGAAATTGCCTCTTTTTGCCCATCAGCCAAGGCCAACATTAGAAACCTAGGAGTTATTTTTGATCCAGCTTTAAGTTTAGACTCATACGTCAAAACCATCTCCCGCTGTTGTTTCTTTCAACTGAGAAACATTTCAAAAGTCCGTAAACTGGTTTCTACTGCAGATCTGGAAAAAATCATCCATGCCTTTGTGTCATCACGCTTAGACTACTGTAACGCTCTTTTTACTGGTCTCAGCAAAACCTCCCTCTCACGCCTTCAAGCCATCCAAAATGCAGCAGCCAGACTCCTAACCAAATCCAGCAGACGAGCTCACATACTCCAGTTTTACAGTCCCTCCACTGGCTCCCGATAGAATATAGAATACAGTTTAAAGTTTTAGTCCTGACCTATAGAGCTCTTAACAACCAGGCTCCAAGCTACCTATCTGAGCTTTTATCCCCACACACCACCTCCCGGAACCTTAGATCCACATCTGAAAACCTCCTGGCTGTTCCTCGAACCAGACTGAAAACCAAAGGGAACAGGGCCTTTCAGAATATTGCACCCAGACTTTGGAACAGTCTGCCTTCAAATCTCCGTCTTTCTAACACTGTAGAGGTCTTTAAAAATCATCTAAAAACTCACCTTTTCATCCAGGCGTTCCATCCCTAAATGTTTCAAAAAGATGGCTTTGTTCAGGTTCACACCTTCACTTTGTTGATACTCATGATTTATTTTTCTATTTTATCACTGCTATTGTTTTTCTGATGTTTTTATTGGTTAGAGGTATTTGCCCTGATCTTTATCATGTTGTACAGCGCTTTGTGATTTATATCTGTGAAAGGTGCTATATAAATAAACTTTTACTTACTTACTTACTTACATCTAGTGGTCAACTGATGTGGCTTTTCTTTTTTCCAGAGTAGTATGTGGAAGAAGATGAACATTCCTTTCAGGAAAAGAAAAAGGAAAAGGAGTTGGTGAAGAGGGTGCAGGTGCATTAAATGAACACCAGAGGGCAATCTTTACATTTGTGATGAGAAAATAAAACTGCCTTCCTTTTAGATTTTTTGCAAAATACAAAATATCCATAACTTAATCTTGTGTTGAATGGTTTTTTAAGACAAACTCTGGTTTACAATATTAGAAGTTCAGTTTTAAAATTTGACTTTGATAATAAAAGTTATGCAGAGAATTGTTTAGCTGCAGACGTGTGATAGTGTGACGGGTCATTTTGTATTTTGATTGTAGACATGAAACAACTAGTGAAGTCTGTACTTATATTCATATTTTTTCCCATCGCTTCAAATATTTTAATATTGGGGTGAAATCAATTGTATGACTTACATTTTTCCTATTTTCCTAATCTATTTGTATTATGCAGATTCATCTGACCCCTGAAGCACGTGATGTCAGATAATCTGTTATTGTCTCATCGCTTGCCACTTCTACAAATAAAAAAAAAAACACTTCAAAGATCTTTCACAGTGGCGTGTCCAGATCTTTTAAAATGGGGTGGCCCAGGTGAAGCACAACTTTGTGCATGGGTGGCACCAATTGTTATGCTTTTTTTGTTGTTTTACCCCGAAAGCCTTTTGTGGACAATGAAAAGCCTATTTGAAGGTAACTTACTGTGGCGACACCTGGGGTGGCCAATCAGATTCCAAGGGTGGCATGTGCTACCCCAGGCCACTCCCTGAACACGCCCCTGATCTTTCAGTAATGGTCGTGAATTTGTCACAATAAGCAGATGAATAAAAGAAAGAAAAAAAGACTCATCCCACTTTAAATGCATGTTGAATTTCTCTCCTCTCCTTGCTGTGTAACCTCACATTTACAGATATGACTAATTGCAAACTTTCACACCCTCGCTGCTGTTCAATCTAATTCTTATTTAATAAAAAATGATAAAAGGAATGTTTCTTCAGACATGTTTGACTATTTTACCATTTTTCTGGTCCAGTCTCATAATCTTAACCCCCCAAGTCTAAAACAACTCTTTAATTGAGATCTAATCTTTATTATTATGCATATTGGAGACATAAAATATAAAATCTAAGGTTTTAAATGCTGTGAAATTGTCCCTGCACCACATCTGGTTGCAGCCAGGCTATTTGATTTGTAATGAAAGAGTATTTGATCATCTGATCTATGATCAAACACAAGTATGATCAAAAGAGCGGGGAGAAACAGGAAGGGATGTTAGTCTTTTATCTCATCAGTGTTTCATCTCTGAAAAGTTTGTCTTGAATTACTTTGTTGCATGAATGACAAAAATAGTTTTTCATACATAATTATTATTGTTATTGTTGTTGTTGTTGTTAAAGCATTATAGTAAGAATCAGGGTTGTCTGAAAGCTGAATAGATGTGTTTGTGTGTTTTGCTCTGTAACAAATGAACGGACAATAAATTCATACAGTTTCATGAGATTATTAGTCAAGTTGATGAATGATTCAGAAATCAGAGAACGGACACACACAAACACACACACACACAGAGAGAGAGAGAGAGAGAGAGAGAGAGAGAGAGAGAGAGAGAGAGAGAGAGAGAGAGAATCTTTCTTTCTGCTGTGAAGCTGTTTAGATGATTGATTCAGTGTGAAGAGTTGTTGGCGATAATTAGATTATGTTGAGTGAATTTACATTTAATGACACAACAGTAAGATAAAGATAACAACCCTCCCACTGTCCTAATGGGTGTGACCCCGCGAGGAAAGTTGACCATTGAGCTGGGTTGATAGTTTATCACTTGGGTCCATGTGGCAGGGGTGAGGAGTGAGCACCACCTCACCCCTGCCACGTGGACCTCAAGGGATAAACCATCAATCCTGCTCAATGGTCAATTTTCCTCGCCGAGTCACCCATAAAGACAGTGGGAGGGTTAAATTAGGCTAATTTGCAAAAACTTAGGACTCCTATTAGTTCATACAGGTGTGGTGTTTGAATCTGAAGTCACTGCTGCACTTTATCAGTAACAGATCCATCTGGTTTTGGGGTTTGTTTTCATCCAAAGTGAAATAAAATTACTAATTTCTCTTTTGAAAAGCCAAGAAAAATAAATTGTATGTAAAACACAAATCTAAATAAATGCATTACGAATGCATCAAATGTAAAGATGCTTTAAAGCATGTATCCCTGATACTTTGCAACTTTTTTATGTTTTCAAATAATTTTCTTGAGCCACTAAATCAGCCTTTACAGGGTAATGAAATGCCACCTTCACCCACCCTCCACAGCATGGGGACACACAGCGAGGACATTGGTTTTGCTTTTGGTTCTACAAACGGACACAAGAGGGTGCTAAAAGCAAGCCAAAACTGCCTAGTACCCCTTTAAATGTGAAATATGTAATAATTACATAATGTGGTTAAATGTGGGCACTGCAGTCTGTTTCAAAACAGCCTTGTGAGTTTAATGCTTGATGACATTTATGGATCAGGATGAGACACCGTACACTTATAAGTAAATAAATACATTTCACTGTAATGTCAATTTGTTGGTAATTAGAAAAAAGCAGCTTGAGACATGTGTTTCTAATTCACCGTTAGCTCAACTTTAGCCTACGGACTTCTCTACCGGATATTAGAGTAAAGCACAAAGATGCTGTGGGTTCTTAGGGGTACAAGAAACAGCTTCTGGGTCGCTCCTGTTTACTGGTTTTGCTTCTTCTAACAACTCTGGAGCTTTTTGTTGACGTTGATTATAAATTCCAGAGCTGCAGCGTTAGCTGGCAGAGATTTGGCAACCAAGTAGCATCCTTCTTCTGCATTTTTAAAAGGAGGAAAACTGACAACTCCCCATTGGTTGATAAAGAAATCTGTTTCATTGCAACCTTCCTTCCAACATGACTTAGACAGTAGACTGTTTAGCGATTACATCACTTTAGAATTGTTTCTTATTGCTCCTGCAAGAGTGCAGATCATTAATTGAAAAGGTTTTTACAAATCTCCATCATGACATCAAGTTTTATTTGATTTGGAAGATTTTAAAACATATTATGTTGTTTAATTCAGTTCGGGCTGTGTTTTTTTTTTCCACAGTGCAAACAGTGAGAATGTAATTGGATCTGTTTCCGGATCCAGGGAGCTCTGTAGGGAAATCCAGCACACTATTGGGAATAATGAATTTCCTTCTTTGCCTGAAACAAATCTGTAGCCATTCTAATGAAATCAAATAACAATGGAAAGCCACGTTTAGGTAAATTTAGTTATATTTGGTTGCTGGTGTGAGGTCTCGTCTTCTAGATTAAGTTATTTATATTGCCCAGGCTTTACGTGCAGCAGGTTAATTTCTAAAGCAGTTATAGAACAGTTCCAGGTTTAGTGTGTGCGGATAATCACAGATAGAAATAGCACTAATGATCCCAACTGGCGCAGAAAAGCTATTGACCTGCAGTAGCTTATCAATCAATGGAAGACCTACCCCCCCCCCCCCCCCCCAGCGATTGGTCATTGATTCGTGCTCTGATTGGTCGGATAGGCTGCCACTCAGCTGCTGAAGGTTCGTCTGTGTCCAGGATTTACGCATAGCGACTAATCCTCCGTTTCGGGTTACGGGCGCATTGGATTTGTGTCGCAGAGCCGAGACGCAGAGAGCGCATCTGCTGGAATATTATTTCATCCATCGGGGAAATCAGCTCCTTTCTCCCTCCCCCATAAGCGTGTCAATGGAGTTTCAGTTGCAGTCGTGACTGCTGTCCACCGCCTCTCATTCTGCAGAAGAATCTGCGGTTGAGTTGCCGCAGCATCCATACCACGGCAGCAAACATGGGCACCGTCCTCTCTATATCCCCCGCGTCTAAAAAGGCGTCCATCATGGATGCCAAGGTCGCAGGAGAGGGGCTCAAGAACGACAAGAGCTTGAAGCGCCACTCGATGTTCGTGTCTTTGTCCTGGAAGAAGCTGGTGGCCAATTCGGCAAAGAAGAGCGCCAAGAAAGTCACCCCGAACCCGCTGCCCACCCGCGAACTCGCGTCCAGCCAAGTGGCGCAGCTCAACGGCGAAAACATCAGAAAGACGCACCAAACCGAGGAGAGGAAACCAAAGGCGCCCATCCCGGTCCCGGTGCCCACGGTCCCCACGCAGAAGAGCGACGGCGTGGTCCAAAACGGGAGATTGTCCTCGGTGCAGCGACAACCCAGCAGTTTTTCTCTGCTGTCCCCCAGGCGCATCGTCATCCAGGCGTCCACCGGGGAGCTGCTCCGCTGTTTGGGGGACTTCTTGTGCCGCAGGTGTTACAAGCTGAAAGAGTTAAACAGCGCGGAGGTGATCCTCTGGTTCCGAAACATCGACCGGACTCTTTTGCTGCAGGGCTGGCAGGACATCGGCTTCATCACGCCAGCCAACGTCGTGTTTGTGTACCTGCTGTGCCAAGACGCGGTCACGGACAGCATCAACAGCCCGGCCGAGCTGCAGGGCACCTTCCAGACTTGCCTCTACCTCTCTTACTCCTACATGGGCAACGAGATCTCCTACCCGCTCAAACCCTTCATCATCGACTCCAACAAAGACGTTTTTTGGGAGACGTCGCTCCGGATCATCGAGCGGATGAGTGCCAAAATGTTGCAGCTGAATGCAGACCCGCACTTTTTCACCGAGGTGTTCCAGGACCTGAAGAACCAGCGCGAGTCTAGCGAGTCCAACCTGGACCGCTGACGCTGAAACCAACCGGACGCGTTTATTTTGGAGATTAATGTATAACCGGCGTGGTGTGGAGTGGAGTGGAGTGGAAAGGCCATCGCTGAGGACCTCTCTGAGCTGAAATTGTCTCGTCATTATGTTACACATCTTCAATATGGTGTTTAGGTTACAGTAATCATGCATGCCTATTGTATATTGCTCTCTTTTCTCTTGATCAAAGGATTAACAAGCTCTAAGAGACTCTCGGCTCCATTTTTGTACAGGACTAGCCTAAGGTGAATGAATGCGGGGAGGTAAGGTCTGAGCCAGGACCAGAATAGGTCTGTGAGCGGAGTTATGGAGGCGGAGCTGTCCAAGGTGCTGACCTGTGCAGCCATTTCTGCTTGGGAGACGCTGGGAGTTCTTTTTCCACACCTGGGCCAAGCAGGGCTTAAAGGTACACTTTCAGCACGTAAGCCTAAGCCTTGTTAGTAGTTCATTGTGCTTTTTAAACATCTCATCAGCTGATAGATAAGCTGCTGGACGTGAAACAGAAACAAGAAGCATCTGAGAGAGAAAAACAACAACACGATTGTACACATTAGTGTTTGGGCAACAAACACGCTTTTCATTTGTGAATTTTGACTCATGGGTGGTGTTTTTTTTCAGCTTTAAGCTTCTGTTGAGAAATTTAAAGGCAAGTTATGATTTTTACAACAATACTATTATATTACACTGTAAGAAAGAAAGTGTTGCATTTACCCAAGTTATGTCAACTGGATTCACCAAAACCAGTTATTTAAATTAGAATTACGAATCCATGTTTACTTTTGATGCAATAACTTATAACCACTAGGTGATGTGAAAACAAGTCTCTATCACTCTTTGGAAAGAAAAAGAACTAAAAAGGGGAATTTTATAACCACTAGGTTAACCAGTTGGCATAACTCGGTTAACTAAATTCAGCATTTTCCTTCTTATACAGAGTAGTATGAAGTTGGGTCTGTTTGGGGTTTAACCTGAAAAAGAGGAGCAGAATTAGATTATTTACACGTCGGCTGCCCACTGAATCAACTGGAAACTGAACTGGATGTACAGTTTTCATCAATATGTGCCAACTGTAAGAAAAACAAAAAGGCCTGAAACATTTTGGTTTACATGTACATATCCCACAGTTTTTTTAAATGTCTGATTTAAGAATAGCGATTTCTGATTGTTGTTTGAGCGTCACAAACAAAATACAGCCTCACGGTCAAGTACATTCACGCCCTCTTTTACAAGATACGATCTGAGCCTCAGTTTCATTCACTTTGTTCAGAATTCCAAAACAGAAAATGTAAAAAAATAGATAAACAGATTCCTGTCATTTGCACATGTCATTGCAGTGTCTATAAGCTAAAAGGGATCTGACTGACTTTCAAACCAAATTTAACAGATAAATAATCTTATGGAGTCCTTGTGGTGAATCTGTTGACTGGAAAGAGAATAACGACGCTGCTATTTTGCACAGTTTTGAACAAATGTGGATGTATTTTGCACAGTGGTATAAACCGACGGTGATGTGCCGGCGTTTCCTCTCAGGCGCTGGAATGCTTTGCCATTAGGTTTGCAGTAACCAGCTCTCGCTTTAGAATGATCGTCTGTGACATGAAAACTTTTGTACAGCTCATGTATTTCTCTCTGAATGTCACGTTGAAGGTGATGTGTCGTCTGTGATGTCACACCACTGCTGCATTCACTTCAAAGATCATAACTGTTTAAGGTATCATTGTGAAATAAATCCAAACGTACTTAGGATTTTTTTTCTGTCTTGCCCTCATTTGTTCATTTAAATAAAGTTTTCAGGTTCAAATCTAATGTTTGCACAGATGTTCTTTAGCCAGTGTTTGCTGTACGTCAAGGGATAATTACCGCGGACACCTTCTTATCTATTCTCAACACCCACTAATCCTCAATTCACAATGAGCCCTCAAGACACCGTTATGTAACAGAGAAAAGGTCCATGACGAATGTGCTTACTGGGATGTGCTGAAGGAGGCATCATCGTAGGTTGCTATGTGACTTAAGCTCCTGCAATCTGTTTTGTTGTTGCCATGAAACTAGAACTTAAAAAGAAAACCTTAGATTTATAAACAGGAGCGTTTAAGCTCTAATTCAAAAGTGTAATTGTTTCACATCTCAGAAGATGCTGGAGTTTAACACGGTTTTAGGACATCTGAGCTGACACATATAGGGGTTATTTATGGCATCCTGTCTTTGTGCAGTTCTGTTCCATTTGGGCCAACGTGAAATGGGAACGCATAGAGATGATTTAAATAAGTTTCTCTGCTAGTGTGGCATTTTACTTTTAAAACGTTGTTAACCCTCTGAGGCTCAAAATAAGTTTTGATAAAAGGATTAACAACTAAGTCCTTCAGGGGTACTTCTGGGTTAAAAAATGCCCATGAAATGCGTATGTCGGGTAACCAGGTAGGTAGGTTTTAATGTTGCAAATCTGCAACGCCTGCCTCCACAGGGTTAAAAAGCTTGTGAGTGATTAACTCTTTCACCTCCACACCAAGAAAAAACCAGAAACAATGATATTTTTGGGTCATTAAGGGTGTATAATACACTGCCCATCCCTAATAAAAGGTCACACTAATATTTTATTGGACCGCCTTTAGCTTTGATTACAACACACAGCCACTGTAGCATTGTTTCTGTAAGCTTCTGCAATGTCACCAGATTTACTTCCATCCAGTGTTGCATTAATGTGTCACCAAGATCTTGCATTGATGATGGTGGAGTCTAACTGTTGCACAAGACCTTCTCCAGCACATCCCAAAGATTCTTAATGGGGTTAAGGTCTGGACTCCACGTGTGAAAATGATGTCTCATGCTCCCTGAACCACTCTTTCACTATTTGAGTCTGATGAATCCTGGCATTGTCATCGTGGAATACGCCCGTGCCATCAGGGAAGATGGAATAACCTGGTCATTCAGGATATTCAGGTAGACAGCTGACCTTGTTCTTGGAGCACATCCTGTTGCTGAACCTAGACCTGACCAACTGCAGCAACCCCAGATCATAACACTGCCCCCACATGCTTATGCAGTAGGCTCTAGGCATGATGGGTGCATCACTTCATCTGCCTCTCTTCTTACCCTGATGCACCATCACTCTGGAACAGGGTCCATCTGGACTCATCTGGCCAGTTTTTAATGAAGCGTTGGACAGTTTTTAACCCAGTTTTAGTCGTTTCTGCATCTCCTCAGATGTTTTCTCTGCTTGACCCTTCTCACACAGAATAACATCTTTTCCACGACCACCAGATGTGTCTTTCCACCTGGTTGTTTAAGAAATGAGAAGCAACCAATGGCACCAGTTGGGTTTTTTTTGGGCAGTTATTGAATGTAGTAATAAAACAATTAATTATGACATATACTGATAATTACATTTTCATTTAAATATCTTCATATTTTATAGAATTCATTTTATTTTCTACTTTTTCCACTTATGTTTAGTACACTTTTAAATAAACAACAAACAGCAACTGAACTGTGCTCTCCATGGTTGGCCAGTGAATAAAAGAGTTAAATATGCTACTTTATCAGCATCTTCCTCTTTTATAACGCAGATGAGCAGATTTGCATTGATAAGAATTTCCTCTATGTTTTTATGAATAGGCCACGTGGGTTGGAGGGCTCCTTCATGTGATTGGTTGAAATCTGCTGCAGTCTCAGAACTGTCTGTGGCTCCCCGGCTCTCCCTCTCTCCCCCTCTTGTCTTTACAGGGACACACAGGGTCTATTTACAGAGCGAATCCTGGGGAAGGCAGACAGAAAACAGGAATGAAGACAACGTGACCCAAAAGGAGTGGGAGTGGAAATGTTTCAAGGGCACGCTGAGGCAGAAAGACTTACAAGGGATTTAAGAGTCTAAATAAGATGGTGATAGGTTTCCACACAGTTTAATTACTGGCTTCTAATTTCAGTTCAATGATGAAAGCAATATTAAACTTTTTAGCGTAATTTACAATAAAAATAGAATTTTAAACATCTAATTTAGCCATAAATAACATTTTCTACTTCCTAGATCACTGCTACGTTCGTTCCGGAGCATTTAGTCACATGAAACTTTGAATAATTACACAATTCTCAACCAACGGTGTTAATATAGTTCAGGGAAACAGACTGACTTCATGCATCAGCGTTATGTAACCAACATGAGGACTTTTCAACCACAGAGCTTTTCTGTTTTTTCTATTAACATTCAATCCAGGTCTGCTGCATTTCTGTCTGCCAGCCTGGCCTCTGCGTTCTTCTCCACCGTGTCTCTATAGTAACGAGTAGGTAAGTGAATGAGAGCTGGGAAAGTGAGCTGTGTGGGGCTGAAGCGTGGGCAGGACTGCTGCGCAACACATGAACGCCGCTGCGATCAATAGGAGATGTGCACGCTGCATTAGAAAATCTGTCACTGCAGGCACGTCCCCAACTCCTCCACAGTCAGCCTCCCTGTTTCTGCTCTGAAACTCCTGCAGCTGCTCCTCCTTTTCATCACTAACAGTGATAAAAACAGTAGTTTTATCTATATCGACTGTGAAATTCCACCTTGAGAGATCTTTTCTTTTCTTTCTTTTACATCTGTGAAAGTGTTGGTGATGCTCACAGGACTTGAAAGCATGAAAGTTTGTTATCCAATTCATTCCAGTCACAATTTCAACTTTTAGCAGCTGCAAGAATCCCTGTGAAGCTTTTGCAAATTTGAAAAATAAAAAGAAGATTCTACAAGTTTGACCTTGCAGTAGCCCGTCTACCACAGGGACACAAGGCATGCACTCGCGCGTAGGGACACGGGTCACCACTCAACCTAAACATGCATATTTTGGGCCGGCTGGAGGAAATTAGAGCACTCACCAAAAATCCACCCATGCACGGGGAGAACATGCCAAACTCATTCATTCAGATGAAAATGCTGCTACTTGGATTTGTACCTGCGACCTTCTCACTGCAATGGGACGTTGTTGCCGACTGCACCACCATGCACTCATTATGTTGTGTTACTGCTATTCTGTGCTATGCTATGTCACGTCATTGGCTGATATTTCCATTCATCTATCAAATCCATTATCCTCTGCTTATCCAAGGTCGGGTCGCGGGGCAGCAGCCTAAGCAGAGAGGCCCAGACTTCCCTCTCCCCAGCCACATGTGCCAGGGAATCCTGGGAATCCCAACATGCCCCCAGTCCAGCTGAGAGACATAGTCCCTCCGGAGTGTCCTGGGTCTTCCTTTAGGTCTCGCCTTCCGTCTCAGTTCTGTCTTCACCAGGAGAGATCAGTACAACGCCCGCATCACTGCAGACGCAGCACCTATCTGCCTATCGATCTCGCGCTCCATCATTCCTTCACTCATGAACAAAACCTCGGGATACTTAAAGTCCTCTGCCTGGGGCAGGACCTCATTCCTGACCTGGAGAAGGCATCCTACCCTTTTTCGACTCAGGACCATGGTCTCGGATTTAGAGGAACTGATTCTCATCCCAGCTGCTTCACACTCGGCCGCGAACCGCTCCAGTAAAAGCTGGAGATCACGTTCTGATGAGGCCATCAGGACCATGCCATCTGCAGAAAGCAGAGACCTGATCCTCAGGCCACCTAAATGGATTCTTGCCAAGAAATCATGTCCTTTTACCATCCATACTACGCATTTGGGGCAGCAGTAGCTCAGGTGGTAGAGCGGGTTGCCTCATGATTGGAGGGTCATGAGTTCGATTCCAGCTCCCGCCAGGGGTATCCTGCACTTATGTCCTTGAGCAAGACACTTCACCCAACTTGCCTGTGTTAGTGGTGGTCAGAGGGGGCCGACGGTGCCAAATGGCAGCCTCGTCTCTGTCAGACCTCCCTAGGGCGGCTGTGGCTACAAGTAGCTTACCATCACTAGCAGTGTGTGAATGTGAGAGTGTGTGAAAGCGTCTTTGGGTGTCTAGAAAAGCGCTATATAAGTTCAATGCATTCTTATTATTGTCATAAATGAGTTTGTTACTCATTACATTCTTGTACTTTTCTTTAGAGGCTCCTGTAACAAACGCATCATTCTTCACTTTCCTACCGCCTTAGCTTCTCACATCTCAGTCTGTCTCTTCCACTCTTGCTTCACCTTCTCTCACTTTCTCACTCTCAGGTCTATTTCAGCACCATGTAGGTGTGTTGCTCTAAATTTGCGGAGCCTTTATTGCTTCCTTCTCTTCTTGCAAGAATGAGTCACCGACTGTAATTCTTCACGCACAGTGACTCAAGAACAGCTGACTGCCTTCCTGTTGGTGTGATGCTGGGAACAGAGAAACCTGGTGATTCATAAAGATGTCGCTAGAGGATGGTGGTCATGTTATAAATCTGTGCATAATGTGTTTTCTGTCTTTTGTTTTGAATAGTCTTTACAGCGTGTGGTGCTTCCGGCTCTCTGCAGTCAAAACCACACCGGTGAAAGATAAGACCACCACATGTTGATAATGTTTATCAACAATGCGCGTCTCAATTAGTTTGATTTTCCAGCATAGTTAGAAATAGCAAGTTAGCTGTTTTATGTTTAGACAATAACAGCCGGCAGACATTATGCCATTAAATCGTTTGTGTTTATTATAAGAAAGATGGAGGTTACTGTGCTTGTGTTCACTTTAAATGCTGCAACTGCCTCATGTTGATCTCACCCAGAAGTCAAGGTGATGGTCACGTCCTACAAAAAGTTATTTTAAAAATCAAAATATTCACAATTATTGCTGCAGAAACATCACATGATCCGCTAAAAAATGGACAATAATTTTTGTTGATGTAAAAGAGAAGAAAAGTCTATTTTTGTCAAAAGAAGACTAAAGCATTTTG